GAATGTCTTCTTTCCATTTGGCCTAAATTCAGCCACAGACTTTCTTTCCCCTGCTCCAACTGTCCACATCCGTTTCTACCCCTTCTCTTTACAACCCTGCTGTGACTTGGACACAGCTGCCACTTCCTGCTTCTGTCCTTTTTTGTTGAGGTAAAGTGCGTTCCGTCCTGGCCCATGCGAGTTTTCATCTCTCCAGGAAGCCACCCTGGCTCTTGCTTCTGGCCCCTTCCTGCCCCTCATGGCTTCCTGGGCACAGATTCTCCATAACTTTTGTGCTGTGACATCTGGTGAAACCCCTAGCCCTCCTCTCAAGGCAGTGTTTTAAAATCTATAAAATAAAATGTATAGGATTATAAAGAAAACCAAATATACATAGGCAGTTATCAAAAAAATTTTTTTTGAGTTGAAATTTCCCTCTTGTCACCCGGGCTGGAGTGCAATGCCACAATCTCGGCTCACCTTGACCTCTGCCTCCCAGGTTCTATCGATTCTCCTGCCTCGGCCTCCCGAGTAGCTGGGATTACAGGCACCTGCCACCATACCAGGCTAATTTTTTGTATTTTTAGTAGAGACAGGCTTGCACCATGTTGGCCAGGCTGGTCCTGAACTTCTGACCTCAGGTGATCCACTCACCTCGGCCTCCCAAAGTGTTGGGATTACAGGCATGAGCCACTGCACCCAGCCCAAAATATTACTTAAAAATGCAAATTTGTGGTTTAGTAATACTTGGACTTATTAATTAGTTCATTAAATAACAAGACTTGTTGGCATGTTTACTAAACTACGATATTTAGAAGGAGGGATGGATACAAAAGTTATTTTAAAGTTTCTGCAATAACTCTAAGGTGATGTGAAAACATCTGAGGCTGGGCGTGGTGGCTCACACCTGTAATAATCCCAGCACTTTGGGAGGCTGAGGCAGGCGAATCACGAGGTCAGGAGATCAAGACTATCTTGGCTAACACAGTGAAACCCCGTCTCTACTAAAAATACAACAGCAACAACAACAAAATTAGCTGGGCATGGTGGCATGTGCCTGTAGTCCCAGCTACTCAGGAGGCTGAGGCAGGAGAATCACTCGAACCTGGGAGGCAGAGGTTGCAGTAAGCTGAGATCGTGCCACTGCACTCCAGCCTAGGTGACAAAGCAAGACTCCATCTCAAAATAAAAAAAAAATCCCTGGTTTCTGTTGGTGACAAAGTCACAATAATTCTACTCTGGTTGGTTTTCTATATTAGTTTTTGAAGGAAATGCTGCATTTCAGTTAGAGGCCTGGAAATAAAGGTGTGACTATCCCCATCTCAGCTCACAGCCCCCTTGAGGCCCTGGAAGCCCAGGGTTCTCCCCTCAGAGATCTCAGCCATGTTCTTTGTCTTCCCAAATCCCAGCTCCCCTCCCACCAGCCCCAGCCACAGAGGTCTCCAGTCCTCCCCTGGAGCCACGCCTAGGGGAGCTGACAGTGACGGATGTGACCCCCAACTCCGTGGGCCTCTCGTGGACGGTCCCTGAGGGTGAATTCGACTCCTTTGTTGTTCAGTACAAGGACAGGGATGGGCAGCCCCAGGTGGTGCCTGTGGCTGCAGACCAGCGGGAGGTCACCATCCCTGGCCTGGAACCCTCCCGCAAGTACAAGTTCCTGCTCTTTGGGATCCAGGATGGGAAACGACGCAGCCCAGTCTCTGTGGAGGCAAAGACGGGTGAGAGGGGCCCCCACGCAGCTGAGCCTGAGCCACAGCCTTCCCACCCTTCTCTGTCCTCCCCTAGCCGAGTCTTCCCTTTGTCCACCTGCTCTGTCTCATTTGAAAAGCCACATGGGGCAAGCACAATGACTCATGCCTGTAATCCCAGCACTTTGGGAGGCTGAAGCAGGCGGATCACTTGAGGTCAGGAGTTCGAGACCAGCCTGGCCAACATGGCGAAACCCTGTCTCTACTAAAAAGATAAAAATTAACTGGGCGTGGTGACGGGTGCCAGTAATTCCAGCTACTTGGGAGTCTGAGTAACAAGAATCGATTGAACCCGGGAGATGGAGGCTGCAGTGAGCCAAGATCGAGTCACTGCACCCCAGCTCGGGTGATAGAGTGAGACTCCCTCTCAAAAAAGACCAAAAAAAAGAAAAGAAAAGCCACAAAGCAGATGAGGACCCAGGAGAGCGGGGCCAGTTCCTGGCCTGTTGTCCCTTGCTGACCCTGCATCTCTTATAATTCTATTGGATGAGGGAAGCCCCTCCAGCCCTCTTCCTTCAGGGTGGATGTGGGAGCCTGGGGGTGCTGGGAGAAGGGGCAGGGGGAGCAGGAGCCCTTCCTGCCTTGCAAGTCCATCACCTCCTGAGAGTCTTTGGTCTCCTCTGTGACTCTTACCCAGGTTCTCACCCTCCTAGCTCAGGCCTGTCTGGGCCCATATGTGCCTCCTGCAGAGGCTGCCCTTCCTTCTCTGCCCTCCTCTTGGAGCCTCAGAAATTGGGAACCAGAGGAGCCCAGCCCAGCCGTGCCCCTTTCCGAAGGTTCAGTCCAGGCCCTCCCCTGCCCCTGGGGGCTCCCTGTTGCCAGAAAGCTCGCAATAACAATGCCGTCAGCGTCCTCACCGTCCAGAAAGGCAGCAGGCCAGCTCCTTCTCAAGGCCTGGGATGGCTCCTCAGGCGGACACCAGATCCCTTCCCTGCCTGAACTCCCCAGCTTCATCCCCTCCTCATTCTCACAAGCAGCCCACGCTCCTTCACAGGCCCTGTGGGAGCCTTAGTTCTCCTGGGCCAGCTGGTGCAGAATGAGAAACGGAACAGAGAAGGAGTGAGACCTTCCCATGTCTTGCCCTACCCCCCACTTGCTGTCTGCCCCCATCAGGGATTCTGTGCCCCTTGGGTTTCCTCAGAGGCTGGCCAAATCACGAAGTGTGGGCTCCTGGGTAAGAGGAGCTAGAGGGCAAGTCTGTAAGAAGCTGCACCCTGCTGGGGAAGCAGTCTGTGACAGGTGGGAAGAGGCTGGACAGAAAGGGGAGTAAGATGAGGCAGGGAGCTAGGGAATCTCCTTTCCCAGAGGTGACTTAGGATGGGTGACCCTTTTCACTTGGGCAGGGGGAGAGAGGCGTGGGCCACATGGAGATGGTGGTGAGAATGGGAGGTGATGGAAATATTTTGGGGAAGCACTAGGCATTTGGGCAGTTCTGGGTTTTTCCAGTCCCAGAGGGAGGTAGTCAAGGAGTCATTTTGGAAAAAATTAATACAAGAACCTTTCCTCTTCATCAGTTGCCAGCCCAGGGGCCCCACCCCGCCTCGGGGAGCTGTGGGTGACGGACCCCACCCTGGACTCACTGCGCCTCGCCTGGACGGTCCCTGAGGGCCAATTTGACTCTTTTGTGGTCCAGTTCAAGGACAAAGATGGGCCCCAGGTGGTGCCCGTGGAGGGCCATGAGCGCTCTGTCACCGTCTCCCCTCTGGACGCTGGCCGCAAGTACAGATTCCTCCTCTATGGCCTTCTGGGCAAGAAGCGCCATGGCCCCCTCACCGCCGACGGCACCACGGGTGAGGGGCATTCCCTGCAGGTCCCTGCTCGCTCCCTTCAGGCCAGGCAGCAGGCAGTCACTTGTGGTGGCTGCCATTACCGTTATTTGGCCCCAGCCATTCAACTCAGATCCAGCTCCCCCTGTCCCTGCAAAAGCCCCTAGCACAGCCCGGCAGGACTCAGCCATGCTAAGCCCTGTCTGCAGACCTCTCAATCCTGCCCTTCGAGGTCACCCAGCCTTCCAGAAACAGCTCAGCCATTCCCATTCCGTGTCTCCATCTCAGAGGCCCAGAGTGTTACGAACGATACTGGAACAAAGCGTCCCCCAAAACCCCGTCTGGGGGAGGAGCTGCAGGTGACCAGCGTGACCCAGAACTCCGTGGACCTCTCCTGGACGGTCCCTGAGGGCCAATTTGACTCCTTTGTGGTCCAGTACAAGGACAGGGACGGGCAGCCCCAGGTGGTGCCTGTGGAGGGCAGCCTCAGGGAGGTCAGCGTGTCAGGCCTGGACCCTGCTCACAGGTACAAGCTGCTGCTCTACGGGCTGCACAGCGGCAAGCGCGTGGGTCCCATCTCGGCCGTTGCCATAACCGGTGAGTGTGCGGCAGCTGGAACACCTGTGCCTCCTTCCTGCCTGGCTCTCCTGGTCTGACTGAGCCATAAGATCTCTGAGCTTCCCATTTTATATCATTTCCATTGATCCAGGAAGTTTCCTTGTGTCTCTTTAAAGTCAATTCCCTCAACCCCAGCCTCCAGCAACCACTGCCTGCTTTTGACCATCATGGGGACAGCCTTTTGACTTTCCATGTAATGGAATCACAATATGCAGTCTCTTGTGTTTCGTTTCTTGCACTTAGCCCAATGCTTTTGAAATTCACCCATGTGAAGCAAAAGCTGGTCCTTCGATTGCTGACTGCTTGTCCTCACTCCCTCTCCTCCCTCACTCCTCCTGAGAGTCTGGGTGTGGCGACAGACCAGCCATCCATCTCTACCTGTCCCTCAGAACCAGCCCATGGGGAAGAAACTCGAACCACGGCCCCCACCCCTCCAGCACCTGAGCCCCGCCTCGGGGAGCTGACCGTGGAGGAGGCCACGCCACATACCCTGCATCTCTCCTGGATGGTGACTGAGGGAGAATTTGACTCCTTTGAAGTCCAGTACACAGACAGAGATGGGCAACTCCAAATGGTCCGTACAGGAGGCGACCGAAATGACATCACCCTCTCTGGCCTGGAATCCGACCACAGATACCTGGTGACCCTGTATGGTTTCCATGATGGAAAGCATATGGGTCCTGTCCAGGTCGAGGCCCTGACAGGTGAGAAGTACCTCCTTTCAGATGGCTGGGAGAGTGCAGAGGAGAGCAGAGTGTCCGTGGATACCCTGCCCATCTCTCAGTTCTCTCTTTCCACGTCTCTGTCCAGTCCCGGAGGAGGAGGAGCCTTCAGAACCTCCCACCGCAACCTCTGAGCCTCCCATCAAGCCTCGCCTGGGGGAGCTGACTGTGACAGATGCCACCCCCTACTCTCTCAGCCTGTCCTGGACGGTCCCCGAGGGCCAGTTTGACCACTTCCTGGTCCAGTACAGGAACGGGGACGGGCAGCCCAAGGCAGTGCGGGTGCCGGGGCACGAGGACCAGGTCACCATCTCGGGCCTGGAGCCAGACCACAAGTACAAGATGAACCTGTACGGCTTCCATGATGGCCAGCGCGTGGGCCCCGTGTCTGCCATCGGGGTGACGGGTGAGTGGACGGTGGGAGCCCCAGGGTGGGAGCCGTTGGAGGGTCACCCTCCTGCTCTTTGGTGATGACTGGTGGGGAATGGTGGCGGGGTCTGCTCAGTATCTCAGACCCGCTTGTGGCTGGGGCTGGGCCTCCCCTTTGGCCTTCCTGTGAGGTTGAGCCCTGGCTCCTCCTGAGCAGGGAGGGGCCGTTGGGAGCTTTGCTGTGCTGGTGGCAGTCCCAGGTCCCCCAAGCTGACCCTGGAACTTGTCATGTGTGTTAGCTGTCTGCTGAGCAGGACCCCCCAGCCCCAAGAATGGGCCTCTCTGAGCCAACCTCAGGACCCCCAGTCACAGCCTTGGCTTCTCCCTCCTTTTCCCCAAGTCCCAAGGGCATCCCCCAGGGACCCTGCCTCACTCTCTCTGTGTCCCTTTTCCTCAGCTGCAGAGGAAGAGACCCCCAGCCCCACAGAACCCAGCACGGAGGCCCCAGAGCCCCCCGAGGAGCCGCTCCTGGGGGAGCTGACAGTGACAGGAGCCTCCCCTGACTCGCTGAGCCTCTCCTGGACCGTCCCCCAGGGCCACTTCGACTCCTTCACCGTGCAGTACAAGGACAGGGACGGGAGGCCCCAGGCGGTGCGTGTCGGGGGCGAGGAGAGCGAGGTCACCGTGGGGGGCCTGGAGCCCGGGCGCAAGTACAAGATGCACCTGTACGGCCTCCACGAGGGGCGGCGCGTGGGCCCAGTGTCCGCCGTGGGTGTGACTGGTGAGTAGTGCTTGGGGTTTCATCGGGTAACTACCTTTCCCTCATGGGTGCCTGATTACTGCTCTGCCCTTTGCCAAGCCCTGTGGGTCCAGGTCTTGGCTCCCGTGTTCGCCACGGGCGTCATGGGTGAGTGAAGGCTGCAGAGCCCTGTGGATTGGGTCTTAGGAAAGTGCAGCCTCCAGCATCTCCTCCACTAGAGACCCAGGACCCCAAGACCTCAAACCTATAATCCACACTGTTCACTAAGGCCTCAGGACAGGTGTGACCTGGGGACAGAGAGAGCAAATCCAGGAGAAGTGTCAGTCATGTGGGAGAAGCCCTTGGGGACTGAGGCCTCTCAGGAGGTGATCCGCTGGCTGGTTTGTGGCTCTCTGCTTATCCTTGGAACTCTAGAGAGAACACTTTTTGTGAGATTGGAACATATTTTTTGAAATACAAATTAGTTAAATTAATAAATATTTGTTAAGTAAAAGTTCAAATGTATAAAGAGAAAGAATAGTACGAAAACTTTAGGTACCCATCACCCTGCCACCCTGCTTCAACCAAATATCAACTTCTGGCCAGTCTGGCTCGTCTCTGTCCCACCCACTTTCTCCACTAGAATCACTAGAATGCTTTTTTGTTTTTGTTTTTGTTTGTTTTTGAGACAGGGTCTCACTTTGTCGCCCAGGCTGGAGGGTACTGGCACAATCGCACCTACTGCAGCCTCAGCCTCCTGGGCTTAAGGGATCCTCCCACCTCAGCCTCCCAGATAGCTGGGACTACAAGCGCACTCCACCACTCTCGACTAATGTTTTTGTATTTTTTGTAGCAACAGGGTTTAACCAGGTTGCCCAGGCCAGTCTGGAACTTCTGGGTTCAGGTGATTCTCCCACCTCAGTCAAAGAGATGGAATTCCAGGCGTGAAGCACCAAACCCGGCCCAACTGTTTTCTTTATTAACACCTTTATGAATATATAATTCATGTGGCATAAAATACACTTGTTTTAAGTGTACAACTTACTGATTTTAGTATCTTTGCCTACTTGTGCAGCCATCACCACAATCTAATTTTAGAACATTTCCATCACCCCCGGAAGAAATCTTGGGTCCAGACCCATTCCTATCTCAGCCCTAGTTTATAACTAATCTGCTTTTGTGTCTGTAGATTTGCCTTTTCAGGATATTTTGTATAAACAGAATCACACAGTATGTATTCTTTGGTGTCTGGCTTCTTTCTCTGAGCATAATGTTTTTGAGGTTTATCGATGTAGCATGTAGAAGTACTACATTTACTACATTGCTATTGATTGATGGATTGATGGAATTTTTTTTTTCTTTGAGACAAACTCCCACTCTGTTGCCCAGGATGCAGGGAAGTGGCATGATCATAGCTCATTGCTAGCCCCAAATCCAGCCCCAAACTCCTGGGCTCGAGCCATCCTCCATCTCAGCCTCCCAACTAGCTGGGACCACTGGTGCTTGCCACCACACTCAGCTAATTTTTAAATTTTTTTGTAGAGATGGGGTCTCACAGTGTTACCCAGGCTGATATCAAACTCCTGGCTTCAAGCAATCCTCCTGCCTGTGCCTTACAAAGAGCTGGGATAACAGGCAGGAGCCACCTGCCCTCAGCCACTACATTGCTTTTTATTGCCTAACAGGATATACCACTGCAGTATTTAAAAACGATCCCCAGACATCCTGTCCTTTCATCACTAAATATTTAAAGTTATATCTCTTTTTCAAAAAATTACTTTTTAAAAAATATACAATATGGCTGGGTGAGGTGGCTCACACCTGTAATCCCAGCACTTTGGAAAGCCAAGGCATGTGGATCACTTGAGGTAGAGTTCGAGACCAGCCTGACCAACATGGTAAAACCCCATCTCTATTTAAAAAAAAAAAAAAAAAAAAGCGGAGCATGGTGGCATGTGCCTGTAGTCCCAGCTACTTGGCGGGGCTGAGGCATGAGAAATTGCTTGAACCTAGGAGGCAGAGGTTGCAATGAGCCAAGATTGCACCACTGCACTCCAGCTGGGGTGACAGAGCGAGACTCTGTCTCAAAAAATAAATAAATAATAAAATTCCACAATACAATTAGCATACCCTGAGAAATGAACAATCATTCCAGTGCTACAGTCTCCTGATTGTCTCATAGTTGTTTTTCCAATTTGTTGCTGAAATCAGGAGGATACGTTGCAATTTAGAAAACTGAAATTTTAAATAGAGTGGTCATCGACGGCCCACAGAATAAGGTGGCTTTTGAACAAAGACTTAAAGGAAGTGTGGGCATGAGCCATGAAGCTATCTGGGAAAAGAACAGTTAGGTAGAGGGAATAGTCAGTGCCAAAGTGCTGAGGTGGGAGGCTGTCTGGCATGTTTGAGGGACCATAGGAAGCCGCAGAAGACTTTTTTTTTTTTTCAAAGGAGATGGGGGTTTTGCCATGTTGGCCAGGCTGGTCTTGAACTCCTGACCTCAGGTGATCCATCCACCTCGGCCTCCCAAAGTACTGGGATTACAGGCATGAGCCATGGCACCTGGCCTACAAAATACTTTAATGATTATAATCAGAAATCGATCTTAAGTTAGGCCCAGACTGGGCCCACCTTCTGACTTGAATTCAAGACATCTGGGGCCTCAACACCTCCTTCCAGTAAGAGAAAAGATTCTGTTTCTATCTTTTCTCAGCCCCCAAAGAGGAGCCCCCCGATGTTCCTCTTGTGAAGCCGCGTCTAGGGGAGATGACTGTGACAGATGCCACCCCCGACTCCCTCAGCCTGTCCTGGACGGTCCCCGAGGGCCAATTTGACCATTTCTTGGTCCAGTACAAGAATGGGGACGGGCAGCCCAAGGCAGTGCGGGTGCCAGGACACGAAGACGGGGTCACCATCTCGGGCCTGGAGCCAGACCACAAGTACAAGATGAACCTGTATGGCTTCCACGGTGGCCAGCGCGTGGGCCCCGTCTCTGCTGTTGGTTTAACTGGTGAGTGTGCAATAGGGCACTGGGCCCTGCCCTGAACTAGACTCAGTTTCCCCTTTATTGTCAGTATCTGGTGGCTTTATTTTACTTTCTCTGAGACCAAGCCTCCCAAGCTCCTGGGAATGGTTCTTCTGGTGCCTTCGCTCCAAGCCTTTGGTATTGCCCAGGTCTTCTACTCTTTACACATGAGCTTTTTGGGTCCTTGAAGAGGTGGGGGGCCAGGGAAATAACACAGACTGAGGCACACCTGGGGTTGACCGTAGCCTCAGCCCATTTGAGCTGTGTGACCTCAAGAGAATCGCACAACATGTCTGGGCACAGTGGCTCACGCCTGTAATCCCAGAACTTTGGGAAGCCGAAGGGGGCAGATTACCTGATGTCAGGAGTTCGAGACCAGCCTGGCCAACATGGTGAAACCCCGTCTCTACTAAAAATACAAAAATTAGCTGGATGTGGTATTGGGCACCTGTAGTCCCAGCTACTCAGGAGGCTGAGGCAGGAGAATTGCTCCAACCTGGGAGGTGGAGGTTGTAGTGAGCCAAGCTCGCGCCATTGCACTTCAGCCTGGACGACAGAGCTAGACTCTGTATCAGAAACCAAAAACGAAAAAACAAAAAGAAAAACCAGACACACACCTTTCTGTACCTTCTTTTCCTCATATGTAAAGAAGGAATAAACCATACCTGTTGTGAAGGGCGGGAGTGTGACTTGGCTATCACACACAATGAGAGATAACCGCAGTCTTTCCCTTCTGAAAATCCCTTAGGGCAAACTCTCATAATGATCACTGATTTCAGTGGGAAAAATTGTATGTGTTCCTTAAGCCCCCAAATTAATACCCATTTATTTTTAAAACAATACTGAGTTCTGTTAACATGGATACTATTACTTTAATTGTAAATAGCGGTCATGTGCACAACTTAACAAGGCATTTTTCCTTCATTAATTACCTGTAATTCGGCTCTTTGATGCTTTCGTTAAGCTCTTTTATAGCTGTTACCCCCTAAATGCTTAAGGCTCAATTCTCAAAAAGAACAGACAAATGAAATGTGGTGATTTTGTAATTCCACTATCAAGGCAGAATGAAACCCTAAGAAGAGCAGAAAAGATTAAAGAAATCAATGATTTCACACAGGCCAAAAGAGCTGGCATCACTGGAGGTGTGCTCTCTGCCATAAGTTAGCAGAGCTACTGCAAGATCCAGAGACAACTCAGCTGCGAAGATGCCCTCATGTGGTCTCATCTCTCTACTCTCAGCTGTAAAATCTAAACTGATTTCTAAAAATGCTCAGAATTAGGTGGAATTTCCAAGCCCAGGTGGATGAACCTCCTGATACAACTTGCCTGTTATGCTTGATTGTGCTTGGTTGATATTCTTTTTCTTTTTTTTTTGAGATGGAGTCTCACTCTGTCACCCAGGCACCCAAGTACCCAGGCACCCAGGCTGGAGTGCAATGGCACGATCTCAGCTCATTGCAACCTCTGCCCCCCCCAGGGTTCAAGTGATTCTCCTGCCTCAGCCTCCCGAGTACCTGGGATTACAGGCATTCACCACCAGGCCTGGCCAATTTTTATATTTTTAGCAGAGACGGAGTTTCACCGTGTTGGCCAGGCTGATCTCAAACTCCTGACCTCAGGTGATCTGCCCGCCTCAGCCCCTCAAAGTGCTGGGATTACAGGCGTGAGCCACCACACCCAGCCCTAGTTGGTGTTCTTATAAAGCATCAATTCTGTCCTATAAAACAAATTTGCTTGGCACGCTGGAATCCTTGTTGCAGGCATGCACACTAAGCATCATGGGGATGCCACCCAAGCATCATGGGGATGCCACCCAAGCATCATGACTTGGCCACAAGTGTGTGCTCTGTCCTCTGTTAACTGAACATTCAAAGCAGAGAAATGATATCCTAAGCCTGTGGGACCCTAGTGTGTCTAAGAGAATCCCAGAATCCCCTAGCTAGAAGGAGGCCCACCAGGCATGTCCACCCATTCTCTCTATCTTCTGATGCAGCCCCAGGAAACGATGAAGAAATGGTCCCAGCCCCGACAGAACCTCCCACACCCGAGCCCCCCATCAAGCCTTACCTGGGGGAGCTGACTGTGACAGATGCCACCCCCGACTCCCTCAGCCTGTCCTGGATGGTCCCCGAGGGCCAGTTTGACCACTTCCTGGTCCAGTACAGGAACGAGGACGGGCAGCCCAAGGTGGTGCAGGTGCCGGGGCATGAGGACGGGGTCACCATCTCGGGCCTGGAGCCAGACCACAAGTACAAGATGAACCTGTACGGCTTCCATGATGGCCAGCGCATGGGCCCCGTGTCTGCCATCGGGGTGACGGGTGAGTGGACGGTGGGAGCCCCAGGGTGGGAGCCGTGGGAGGGTCACCCTCTTGCTCTTTGGTGATGACTGGTGGGGAATGGTGGCCGGGGTCTGGTCAGAACTCAGATCTGCTTGTGGCTGGGGCTTCGGCTCCCATTGTGTCTTCCTATGAGGTTGACCCCTGGCTCCTCCTGAGCAGGGAGGGGCCGTTGGGAGCTTTGCTGTGTTGGTGGCTGACCCAGGTCCCCCATAACTGACCCTGGAACTTGTCTCTTTTTTTTTTTTTTTTTTTGAGACGGAGTTTCACTCATGTTACTCAGGCTGGAGTGCAATGGCGCGATCTCGGCTCACCGCAACCTCCGCCTCCTGGGTTCAGACAATTCTCCTGCCTCAGCCTCCTGAGTAGCTGGGATTACAGGCACGTGCCACCATGCCCAGCTAATTTTTTTTTGTATTTTTAGTAGAGACGGGGTTTCACCATGTTGACCAGGATGGTCTCGATCTCTTGACCTCGTGATCCACCCGCCTCGGCCTCCCAAAGTGCTGGGATTACAGGCGTGAGCCACCGCGCCCGGCCTCCTGGAACTTGTCATGTGTGTTAGCTGTCTGCTGAGCAGGACCCCCCAGTCCCAAGAATGGGCCTCTCTGAGCTGACCTCAGGTCCCCTAGTCACCGCCTTGGCTTCTCCTTCCTTTCCCCAAGACGTGCGCACATCCCCCAGAGACCCTCTCATCCTTTTTCTCAGCTGCAGAGGAAGAGACCCCCGGCCCCACAGAACCCAGCATGGAGGCCCCAGAGCCTCCCGAGGAGCCGCTCCTGGGGGAGCTGACAGTGACAGGAGCCTCCCCTGACTCGCTGAGCCTCTCCTGGACCGTCCCCCAGGGCCGCTTCGACTCCTTCACCGTGCAGTACAAGGACAGGGACGGGAGGCCCCAGGCGGTGCGTGTCGGAGGCGAGGAGAGCGAGGTCACCGTGGGGGGCCTGGAGCCCGGGCGCAAGTACAAGATGCACCTGTACGGCCTCCACGAGGGGCGGCGCGTGGGCCCTGTGTCTGCCGTGGGCGTGACTGGTGAGTAGTGCTTGGGGTCTCATGGAGTAACTACCTTTCCCTCATGGGTGCCTGATTACTGCTCTGCCTTTTCGCCAAGCCCTGTGGGTCCAGGTCTTGGCTCCCATGTCCTGCCCTCCGTCTGTGCCCCATGGCTGTGGCCCATGCTAGTGGTTTGCTTGTCCACTTTGGTGTGACCTCCTTCTGAGGGTCAACCACTGAGGACCTCCAAGGGTTAAATATGTCAGGTGCACACCAAGCCTAACTAATGAAAAATTTCCTTTTTTTCTGTCTTAACCATAGCATTCTTTGTTATAACCACATACACAAATGCATACGAGAGAAACAATCCAACGTCAAAGCACATTGGGATGACTAAATAATTTAGGCAACATCTATAAAAAGAGCTATTATGCCACCACTGAAATATTTTAACATAAGACCCTTACTTTATAATGTTACACTGAAAAAAGAGAGCCCAGGCCAGACAGTGGCTCACACCTGTAATCCCAGCACTTTGGGAGGCCAAGGAGGCTGATCACCTGAGGTCAGGAGTTCCAGACCAGCCTGGCCAACATGGTGAAACCCTGTCTCTACTAAAACTACAAAAATTAGCCAGGCTTGGTGGTACATGCCTGTAATCCTAGCTACTCGGGAGACTGAGGCATGAGAATCACTTGAACCTGGGAGGCGGAGGTTGTAGTGAGCTGAGATCACCACTGCACTCCAGCCTGGGCGAAAGGGCCAAACTCAGTCTCAGAAAAAAAGAAAAAAGAGAGCCAACTTGTTGTAAGGATGCTAATCACAGCCATTTGAAAGTAATAGGCACAGCAAGAAGACCGGAAAGAAACACATCCCACAGGTGGCATGATTTGTTAGATAGAATAGAATGTTCCAGCACGTTTTTTGGGTATTATTCTATTCTGCGTAGTCCAAGTCTTCTTAAATGGCAAACATTTCTTTTATAATCGGGAAAAGGAAAAAAAGAAAATATATAATGTCTTCTCCTTCTTTACACCCCATCTGTCCTTCTCCCCTGTCACTCTTGTGACTTATTTCATTTCTAATTATGAGAAATTTCAAGATTTCTAGTCCCTAAGAAATTGAGGGATTGGGAATCATGAGATGAACTGAATTCCAAATGCACAGTCAGGCTGCCTTTTCTAAGTCATTCTCAGCCAGGTGGTTATGCCTGGTTTAGAGTATATTTCGAGAATTTCTACCAATGGGGAAGAATCCCCCCTGCTGAGAGGTCTTTTGCAAGGCAGGTCGCCACCTCTGCGACACCAGGTGAGGTGCAAGCTGGTCTCCCGAAGACCATCCGGACAGAGGAAGCCCTCTCACTCGGTCTCCCTGATTCCTGGGGGAGAGACCTCATTTCCATATGCATGCTCAGAGAACCATCTGAGTTTTGGAAAACGGGGAATAGGGAAATTATTGCAAAATGAACATTAGGAAAATTCACACTCTGAGGGTAAGCTGTTCTGGCTGATGTTCAGTTCTGTGTTCCTGCCCCCACCATGGTGAACCACAGAATGGACACAGGACAGGCTGAGGGACTCGCCCCTGCCCCTCCTGTTCCATCTGCATTGCCACCCAACCCCTACTCCACACTTGATTTTTAATTGTTGTAGCCCAGAATTTCTTCTTTCTTTCTTTTTTTCTTCCCTTCCTTTCCTTTCCTTCCCCCTCC